GTAAAAACCTAAATTTGACAGCATTGGACCATTGATTCCATTTACTCCTGGTTGAACCACAATTTTTTGCCAGATGCTATGTTAGAGGCCAAGTATAAACTGTTCAACAAAAAGAGGTGTGTGCCCTGAACTTGGGGATTTCTCAAGTTAGGAAACAAAAATAAAACAGTAACACAAACAAATATGATATTGCAATTGGGATAATCTGTACAATGAAGACCATATTGTAAGGGAGATTAAATAGTAAGCTAGAATGCTTTTGAAAGTTAAGAATGCCTCTCTAAGGGAGTCAAGCCTTTTAGAAAAACAATTAATAGGTAACAGATGAATCGAAGAGGGAAGAATACATAAGGAAGAAGGAACATCATTTGTAAAGGACCTGTGGTAGGAGAGAAAATTAGAAGAACTACCACCACAGACTAAGAGAAGGATGGAAAATTAAGTACAAGGAGAGGTCGAAGGAATAGAATCTTGGCTGAAAATCCTTGAAATTAGCAAAACCATCCCCTAACAAGAAAACTTCAGAAGTCTAATACTCTCATGTTTTAGGTATGTTATTTTTTATGTATATTCTTTTCTCCATTAAAAAATGAAAAAAAAGAAAAGAAAATGTAAAGTTGATTAACAGAATAAAAATGACTTTGTGCTATATGTGACAGTCTAAAATAGCACATATTTGTACTGAAAGACAAACATTGTTTGTGTTAAGCATCAATGTTTTTTTATAGGTCATTGGTTAATCTTATAGCTTCCATGGAAGTTTTTAGTTTCTTCCCTCCTCAGTCTACCTTGGCATATCATGAGACTTAATGACTCAACATACTGAAGCTTAACTTAGAGACAATAAGCCCTTCACATTGAAGTTCAAACTTCCTGCACTCAAGTTGTTCTTAAATATTTCTTACTCCTGGCTAGATGGGGTGACAAATAGGCCTCTACATATATAAACAGTTGCAATTTTTGTGTCATGGTCATAGGATATCACCTTGGGATCTTTATTTCAACACATTTTTTAAAAATCAGATGTTTTTAGAATATTATTTTAAAATATATAACAATTTTCCTCTGTTCATACAAACCTAGAATTTGACTTATCATGCAATTCTCTGAATGCTGGGGAAATTTTATCATTTTATTCATAATCTGTACTTAGCTTGTGGCCTTTCACAGATGCCAGCTAATTTTTAATATAATGAAAGTTATTTATTAAATATGATGATGATTAACATAATGCTTTTTAAGAACTTGCCAAGCTCATGACTAAATGAAATGAATAATCAATTATATATAAACATATACATATACATACTAAAAAGGAAACTGAGTCTTACCTTTTATTAGTGATTTTTTCCTCTTTCCACATTTTTATTGGTGTACTATAGTTGTACATAAGGATGGGATTCGTTGTTACATATCCATATGTATACACAACATAACAATATAATTTGGACAATATCCTTCTTATGTCAATATTTATCAAAATGAATCTGATGGAAGACAACACCTCAGGACACCACGGGCAATTTATTATAAAAGACTCCCTAGTCAAATAAGTTTGGAAAAACCTTGAATCACTTGGTCTTCTTTTGAAGGACGTTTCACAGCATTTAACAAAGAAATACACCTTGTAATTCTCCCAGATGAGATATATATCAAGTTTCTTAAACTCATTTGTCCATACAATTCTGTCTTATTTTCTGAAAAACATTATATAGGATTTGTATTTTGGGGACAAAATCAGGGACATGCTGCCTTCTGCCATGTTGTTGCAACTCCCTGCTCAGGAGTGTGAAAGGTTTCCCAACCTCATGTTACACAGCAACACAAGTAACAGGAGAGCAGTGGCACAGAGCATCACTAACAACACTGAAATATATATCAGCAAAACCTGCTGTCAGAATTAGACAACAGACATCTCTGAACGAGAACAAGTGGTCTGGCTCCAGTCAAGAAATAGAAGCCACATAGTAAACTAAACAAGAAATGTTAGTGTAAGATCTTACAACTGTAACTCAAACAAAACAAAACAACGCACAAGACTTTCAGATACAAGGCAAAACTATATGGTAGCCTAAGATTGAAGGATTGACAAACTTGAAAAGGATCCTGGCGGCTTAGAGAAGGTATGGGTCAGCCCATACCTTGTTGGTTAGCCAGGTGATTTAGCCAGGCTGGGGCTGGTCTGCAGTTTCTAGAGAAGCAGTAGACCATGGGCCTGAGTGTACATGGAGCAGACAATCAGCAGTTGGTGGCAAAGCCAGGCTTTTGGAATCAGAGTACCTGTCTTGGTCAGAGACCTTCAGAACACATAGACTATCAGATTTATAGAGGGAGCAGCAATCTATGTTTATCTCTTGGGGCACAAGAAGGCTGCATGCAGGATGCTCAGGACTTTTCAGAATCAAAAGCTGTTCCCTGTGTGACCCTCTAGGTTATAGAAAGCTATATGCTTTACTACCTATGTCACTTAAGAATGTGCATGCAGGTGCTAAAGCTGATGTTTTCCTCCTTCCACAAATAGAATAAAACTTGGAGTAGTGATTACCAGATTATTTATCTGTTAGGTGCCAACTTTTTATTTTTGAAATTATTATACATTCACAGAAAGTTGCAAAAATAATAACAGTGATATCATGGATTATTTATACAGTTTTCACTAGTAATAACATCTTACATAACCACAGTACATAATAAAATCCAGGAAAATTATATTAGCATAACGTGTCCATATCTAGTTCTATACCATTTATCATCACCAACACCACAATCTACAGAATTTTTCTACTTCCACATAGTCAACCCCCCACATTATAATTCCTAGTAACCACTAATCTGCTCTGCATATTCATAATGTCATCATTATAAGAAAGTTGTGATCATGGAATTATATTTTTATGTCACTTTTGAGATTGGGTTTTTTTTCATTCAGCATAATACCCTTACATATGTAGTTGGACAATATTTTTTTTACCTACTCTACAAGTCTTTTGTAATTGGTTTATTTAGACCATTTACATTTCATGTAATAATTGAAATAGTGGGGCTTACATCTACCATTTTAGTTTGTCTTTGTACCTTCTTTTCCATGTTGCTGTATGGGTTAATTGAAAATTTCTTAGAACATATTTTGGTTAATCTATAGTGATTTTTATCATACCTCATATATGATAGATATTTAGATGTTTTCTCTAAGTATTATATATATATATATATATATATATATATATATATATATATATATATACATGCATACACACACACACACGTATAAATGACTGAATCCCTGTAAGCACTTCTTTAAAGTGAGTAGAGTTGAGCATTCTCATATATAATACTTAGATAAACCATCTGAATATGCATCATAGATATGTTAAAATCACTACAGGTAATATAATATTTATGTTAAATATAATAAATATATGCCTATATGTATAAATATAAGTAGATCTTCTCACAATCTATTGGCACTAACATTTTAAAAGTTTGAATTAAGTGTAAAATTTTTACTGAGTTCATTTCTTTATCTTTCCTAGTTTATAACATAACTATATTAAGTAGCTCCTCTATATCTAATGAAAACTACATCAGTTAACATTATTACACATTTTGTTTCAACTGTCAACCTTAATTAAAAAAAAAGAGGTATAGTATATCTATCCATGAATTTGCTCTTTCTGTTCTTTCCTCCTTCTTGATGTTCCAAGAGTATTATTACTATTTTTTTTATTAGCTACATATGACATTACAATGATCTTGGCAATTCATACATTTGAATCAATTGGGGTATACTTTCTCATTTTTCTGATTGTAAAGATTGCAGAATCACATTGGTCATACAGTCACCAAGAGTATTATTACTATTTATCATTCTCTTTGTTTTTCAAAAACTCCCTTTAGCCATTCTGTTAGGACAGATTTATTTGCGCCAAATCCTGTAAGTATTCCTTTCCTAGAATTCTTTATTTTCTCTTCATTTCTGAAAGTTAATTTTTCCAGACATAGAATTTGGGGTTGGTAGTTATTTTTTTAGCACCCAAAAAAAAGTGCTCTACTTCCTTATGGTTGCCATAGTTTCTGATAAAAATCTGCTGCATTTGATTTGTTTTTCCTCTTGGGCAAGGTGCCCTTCCTTTCTCATTGCTTTTAAGAATTTTAACACAATGTTTTTTCTGAAATGTGATATGATATTTGTGGGGGTTAGTTCACCTTCTTGAATCTGTAGATTTATGTATTTTGCCAAATTCAGTGAGATTTCAGTCACAGTTTCTCTGAATACTTTCTCAATGATGCCATCTTTCTTCTGTTTTTCTAATATTCCATGATATTGACATTGATGTTAGGTTTCTTTTTCTTTTTTCTTTTTTAAATAATACAACTTGTCCCAGAGGTTCTGTGGCTCTATTTTCCCCCTCTGTTTTATGTGTGTTGTTCAGATTGTGTGATTTTTCGTTTTTATCATTTTTATCTTAATATTCACTCATACTTTCCTTCTGTTCTTTCTACTCCATTGAGACCATCCAGCAGATTTTTAAAATTTAGCTATTTCTATCTCAATTCTGAAGTTTCCATGTTTTTCTTTGTATCTTCCAGTTTTCCTAAGATATTTCATTTAAAATTTTTGTAATCATGTTCATAATTCCTCAGGAAAGAAATTTTATATTGGCAACTTTAAAACTCTTGTCAGATGATTCTGACATCTCTGTGATCTCAATGTCAGTGCCTGTTATGCTTATAGTTTTTATTGTTGTTTTAGTTTTTTTTTTTTTTTTCCCCCTTCAAGTTTAGAAGAAAACTTGATCAGAGTGATCCTTTCTCTTGGTCAGGGTGATTTCCAATTGTATCCTGTATTCTTTTCTTTTATATTACAGATTCTGAGTCTTAAGTCTATTTCAGAAGAGGAGAGTTGCCCTGTTATTGCCAAATTGAGTTAGAAATCTAGTTTCCCCAACTAGCCTCCTTTGACTCTCAAGAGTGGGGGGCTCCCTTATTGCTGGGTGGAAATGGTATTTCAGGTTCTCAACTATTATTCTATCGGCATCACCCTGGCTAGCTGGGAAGAGGAGAGGCCCCTCTTGACTGGTCTCCATGGGGCTGCCAATGACAACCCACTAGAAGGAAAGTCTCGTGCGTGAGGTGGGTGATGGAGAAATGTCTTCTGATACAAACAGAGTAGAGGAAAAATGAGTAGAAGACAGAGATAGGAATAGGATTATTATTCCTAGGATAAAGAGAATAAGATTTATTAGTCACTGTGAAATCTAATATACAGTAAAGATGGGGAATTTTGGTATTTTTAAATTCACACATTAAAATTGTGCGTTACCACTAAGTGGAACAGAAGTACAGGGTGGCCTCCACTGATATCTTTGAGAAGGACTTGGAAACAATCAAATGGGACTAAAAATCCTGCTACCTACTAAGTGTTCTCTGAAACCATGCTAGTATGTGGGGCAGGGAATAGCAAAGGTATAAATGATCTAGACTCACTACCTTCCTTTGGTGATGGGAGTGGGGGTTTAGTTGTAGCTTTTGATTGGTGTTTTTCCAAAGGTCCAAAGGTCAAAACTGTTCTGTCTTTCAATTTGTACTTTTGTCCTTCTTTAACTAGAGGAAGCAAGATTTTTTCTGGGAAACGTTCTTTGTCTGCTCTCCTTGAGGTTTCTGGGCTACTCATTCTTCTGTCAAGCAGTGCTGTACATGTGAAGCAAAAGGCAAGTCCTGGGATTCCACTGCCATATTGTGACTCAGGTTCCAAGGCCCCTTTAAGAAACCATTGAAAGTGAGTTTAAGAAACTCACTTTCAATGGTTTCTTAAATTAATTGTTAAATAAAAGCTCCAGGGTTTTTAGCTGTATTCAGTGAGATAAATTGATAGGTTTATGTTTAGCCTATCTCAGTGTTAATTTTTTGGATACCATTTTCAATAGGAGAAAATGACTCTCCTCTCTGGCTTGCCAATTTTTCTTTCTATCAGCCGTCCTTTCCTAACTATGCAAGGTTGGCTCAGACACAATTCTTCCAATAAATAACCTCATGAGGTCACTATTACCAGCTGTGACAGTTTCTCAAACATCCCATGTTAATAAGATCTTTTCTGTATTCCATTTATCCACACACGAGACAGACATTAACAGCATATGTTGATTAAATTCTCAACATATGCTGATCAGTTTCCTGAAAAGATATTCAGGTCTTGTTTGGTGCTACTGTTTAATTGAGACTTTCCATAGTAAGGGACTAATCCAAACTTATTAATTAGCAATGTTATTAAAGCCAATTTTTCCAGACTGTTTAGTCTATGGATTTGTGTCTTAAAACACTCAATTTCTTTTCCCAAACACTGTGATCTAAGAGGATCATGAGTGGTGTAAATGTTTTAGTAATTAAAATAATGTTTTAGCCAGAGACAGAGATAGGAATAGTATTTATTCGTCACTGTGAAATCTAATATACAGTAAAGATGGGGAATTTTGGTATTTTTAAGTTCACACATTAAAATTGTACGTAATTATGGAAAACGTGATATATATATATATATA